AGGGCTTTCTGTACCAGCAAACTGACTATCCTGCACTTTCAAATCCATTTTTTCGAATTCTTAAAAATTTTTTCTTCATTTACTATCATCCCATTTCATTATTATTTGTATAAGTATTACCATTATATTCATTTTTTTAAATCATCACCGTGTGAATCTCTTTTTTTTTTCTCAAAATAGTTGCAAGATCTTCGGCTCAACTATTAATTCTTAATTGTAAAGCGCGCAAAAACACAACTACTTATTATTAAGAATCTTAAAGTTATTGCAAATCCGAGTTTTGCATTGGGCAATCCGTTCTGGTTGTCTTGACAATAATTATCTTTCCAATCATACCAGAAACTTTATTCAAAAGTTTTTTGATAAATCAAACAAAAATCGGAAGAACTTGCCTGAATCGAACAACTTGTCTTGGCCTTCTCAATTTCGGTCGTCCTTGCCCGCTAAAAACCACGTACTCCCTCGCGAGGCCGAAATCAAATATGTGCAGTAAACGAGAGTGATTGCCATCACTAGCCCCTAATGCCATATTAGCTGGTTTAAGATCACGATGAATGAACCCCATCTATAACAAGAAATTGATTCTCTAGCGAGAGGCATTTTTTTAAAAGAAGAATAACATTCTATCCTTACATCATGAAGAGCTTTCACCCCATACAGCGCATTTATTCCTACTCTTACTTGTGTAGAGACGGTGCACACTTTTCCGACGTTTCTTAAAATCATATATTGTTGAAAGCAAATTCTAGCATATTCATGTTTAACTTCCATGTTTGATAGAATGGACTCGCTTTCTCATCCTTGGTTGTTTTGAAATGATTTGCGAGATAACTGCTGACAACTTGCATATTCTTTGTTAAATCAAATGTACGACAGGAGTAGCACTAGTGTTTTACGGATTTCAAGCTATAAATGAGAATCACTAGTGCGTATGATCAACATAAGAAAATTCCCTCGAAGGAGTGAGAAAAGTTCGGCAGAGATGGGCTTGGGTGCCGCAGACCTAGCCATACTTTCAATAGATGGCCAATATATCCTAAGATCAAAAAATAAAGTCATTTTCTCACTTTAGTTAGTGAACGCCTTTGAAGATATAAGCCATTCTCAGAGGGTAGTCGATTGGGCTAGGACATAGAACTTTGCAAAGCGTAGTTTAAAATTGTGCTGTAAGCAGTTAAACGGAATGTTTGCTTGTTTGCATAGATGAACATGCAATCGATTAAAGAGAAGAAAATATATAGAACAGAAGAGTTTGGGGCTACTGAAAAACTATTGAATCCAGATGTTAGCATGGAAGCTCATTAACAACGGCTGAAAGGGCATTATGAGTAGCATTTGGCGTGCAAGTGTTTGCTATTCAAGTGCGCCTTATGTGTGCGAACAGTGCTAACGGATGGATTACAATGCACCATAATCAAAAGCTCCCAAAAAACTGTGTAAGGTTTAAATCTAATTTTGAGAGTTTAGAGTGAATTTTACCTACCCTATTAGTACATCCAAACTTGGACCAAGTAACGTCATCACAAGGTATGAATAGAATTCTTTTTTCCCGCATTGCAGTATATTGACAAAAACTGGACAATTGGCGAGGCGCCGTAAAATCTGCAATAAAATTCGGGAGCACTACACATTGTATCTCATTTTTCCTTTTTGCTTGCCTACATAAACTTCAAGTTTCAGAACATTTCCTCCGTTATTTCCCTCTGCTTTTAGCGCAGCCTGAATGTAGAAATCATCTCATTTTCAATTTTACAGATTTCGAAATTGCCATCCACGCACAAGCTCGTTAGTATTAATGTCCTCCACTTTGTAAACTGCACCAAATGATCCTCGCCCAAGAACGT